CGGGCGGTTTGTAAGTTCATCCCACACCTTACTCAATGGCTGTGTCTGGAGGCTTTGAAGCCCCAGCTCTGGGCCTTGGTTCTCCTCTAAGGATTCCAGTGCAGGAGGCGAGAGGGGAGAGCACTCAGGCCAGCTTCTCGTCCCTTTAAGAACCCTGGGAGGACTAGACAGCCACCAGAAGGAATGTCTGCCCACCCACAGCACTGCAGGACTGTCCCACAAGCACTGCAGACAGACGGACAGACGGACAGACAGGAGCTCATTTCATCCTCACGGCAGGCAACGCTACGAGGGGCGACTGGGGTCCTGGATTCCCAGATGGGGAAACAGACCACTTCCCAGGATCACCCACTCGTAAGTGGGAGAGCCGAGACTTGAGGCCCATCGGGCTCCCAGCTCTGCCAACGGACCACGTGACTCTGCATCACCTCCAGGGATGACCTGGTGGCACAGATTGCCGTATTCCCCTTTCCTCTTTACTAAGAAACCCAGAACTCCACTGCCTGCACGCCACCTGCACTCAACACTGCATCTTCAGCCTCCCTTTGGGTCACAGTGGTCTAATGACAAGATCTTCCCATTGTGATGCAGGTGAAGCGAGACTGTAACTCTTCAAAACCCAAAATAGCTCTTCCTTCTTCTTTTTCTGCCAGCTGGGATGCAGACAGAATGGCTCCAGCAGCTGTTTTGGTCCATGAGACACCTAGGGAGTAGAAATCATGTATGCTGGAGCAAAAGGATATACAGAGCCTGGATCCCTGACTCCATCTTCTTTAGTGATCTAGTAGTGCATTTTTTAAAAAAAGCCTTAAACTAAGACAAGAGCTAAGATTTTTTTAGCAGTGATAATAACATACACTAGCTGGGTGCAGTGGCGCACACCTGTAATCCCAGTGACTAGGGAGGCCGAGACAGGAGGATTGAGAGTTCAGAACCAGCCTCAGCAAAAGCAAGGCTCTAAGCAACTCAGCAAGACCTCATCTCTAAATAAAATACAAAATTAGGGCTGGGGATGTGCCTTAGTAGTCCCCGCCCCCCAAAAAATTATAATGATGACATACACTGAATTTAAAATGTATTTTATTATAGAAAGATCGGTTTCTAACAAGTAAAAATGTATTACCTGTTCCTTAAGTGCGTAAATGATATTAAATTAATTAAACTGGGGAAAAAATCCTCACTCTTAGGGGTTTGCACCCTCAACGATATTGATTGTCTTAGGCGCTGGGCATGGGCGGACAGTGGCAAAGCCAGGCCACCACTGAGCCCCGGTGCTGCGTGCACATGACCTGCCTGGGCAGTCCTCACCCCAGGAACCGCAGGCTGTTGAGTGACAGCTCTGACTCCCAGTCCCAGGCACTGGGTGGGAAATTCAACAACACACACACCTGACGATTCCTGATTGTGGTTGTTTATCGTCTTTCCCTTTCTTCCTGGACCTTCCCCGATTGTCT